TCGGTGCGGGTGAGCGTATCCGTATGCTGACAGGATGGATCCTGTCTGCGTCCGAGCAAGGAAACATGCACCCGTACGGACGTGCTGGGCGGGTGAGCGTAGGGGGGTGTACGGCTGCATACACCCATAGAGAAGGACAGGGGCTGCATACTAATCATACGCAGCACCTGTCCTTCCCGGGAGCTGCCCGAAATAGCGTTTCTTCTCAGAAGCTGCACACAGCGCGCCGGTTTAGGTATGCAGTTTCTGACAGCGTGGGAGACAGGAGGCTGGGCTTGTCTGGATCCAGGGATCTACTTAATTTTATGGCAGTGCCCCGCCCCAGAAAATAGACTCTGGATCCGCCCCTGCTTCAGCTACTATAAGAGGAAGACTGCAGGATTGGGTGGAGACTTCATTCACATCTGCTGACCTCTGCACTGTTCGTCACACCCTGACCTCTGCACTGTGCGCCACACCCTGACCTCTGCACTGCGCGTCACACCCTGGCCTCTGCACTGTTCGTCACACCCTGGCCTCTGCACTGTTCGTCACACCCTGACCTCTGCACTGTGCGTCCCACCCTGACCTCTGTACTGTGCATAACACCCTGACTTCTGTACACTGCCTTACAACTGACCTCTGCAGCTTGGAAACTAAATTTTTTAAATTGATTTAGCTGCGTTAGGTCCTGCACAGCAGCCTTCTGTGGAACCACCCGGCACCTGCTTACAGCGCTTTCGCCGCCCGGAAAACATCTTCCCCTCCTGAGACCCTCTGTACCCCTCCTCAGACCCTCTGCACAAGACATCAGGCCGGCATTCCAGAGCAAATAGGCAGAACAGAGTATGTACCAAACTCGCATACTATTATTCTGCATTGGTTTATAATGTATTGCTGGGATTTGTAGTCCTCTGCAGATGATGGCATCCTGCATTAGACTGTAAGCTCCTCTGTACAGAGACTGCTGTGGTTCAGAGTTCTCTCTGTACAGTACTACTTTATATGTGGAACAAAAGTAGCCCTCCTCCAGAAAGGAAGGACAGCATCAGCACCAATTCAGAGATGATTTGAGGATATACAGCCGAGTGATACACAAATACGATAAATTTTTGCTAATAGTTAAGGTTCTAGAATGCATTTTTAAAGTTTAACTCCTGAGTTTAGTGTCACTTTAAGCCATATTTAGCAGCTTGATGTATCAGAATCTATCTGATAATCTAAAAAGAAACATCTAAACCTCTTCACAATTTTACACTCGGCATATTATACTTTTACCTACAATACTATGATAATACATTTATGTAGCTGGTCTCACTAACGTGTTTTCCTAACCTTTGACTAAGCAAATATAAAAGCAGCGGAGATCAAATGATTCTTGCATGCACACTTGGAAAATGTTCAGCTCTTTGTGTGCCAGCAATGCTGTTTTTTTAATAGCTAAATTATTTTGAAGATTTATCTTTTGAACTTATCAGATAGAGCTAGCATGAAACAAACACAATATTCTAACAGTATAATGTGTTGTCTGCTCAGCTTTGTAAACTGACTAGAAAGTGTGACCTCATTGCCTGTGTTATTTTCTGTTATATACAACCTTGTATTGTGTACTTCAGCTTGTATTTTATAGGGGTTATATACATTTTCCCCCTATTTTGTATATATTCTATATTTATTATGGTCAACAAACAATTGTGTTAGACATAAATGTTATGGGGGGAATTTATCAAAACTGGAGCAGACAAAATCTGGAGCAGATTTGCACTGCAGCCAATCAGCTTGAGATGCTGATTGGTTGCCATGGGCAACTGCTCCAGTTTTGATAAATTCCCCCCTATTTATTTTCATTTTAAAGAGACACTAAACTTAGGAGTTTAGCCTGTGCATGACACACTGCATGGGAAGCCGCGAGAAGCAAAGCAAAGCTGCAAGGTGAGGACATTCGCATGCAGTGTGCGAGAGCTGGAGTAGCTGAGCGTGGCGAGATGAAAGACTTCATCTTCAGCCAATCGGCTCAGGCGTATCAACTCAATGGAATTCGCATTGTAACGCTTGGGTCAAGATTGTAACGCTTGGGTCAAATTATTCATCTCAGCATGCTCAGTTATGCGAGCTCTCGTAAGCTGACGTACCAGAGAGAAAATTGCAAGACACTCTGCATGCAAAGGTCGGCTCGCCGTTGCTTCCTTTTGCTGGGTTACCACTTGCTGGTCTTCTTAGGCACTGGTGACGTAGCTCTGACCTCACAGATAACCCTGGGGAAGGCTACATCACCAGGGCCTTCCAGGGAGATCCTCATTACCCTAGTGGGGAAAAAAAGACTTTCCCTCTGAGATCTCGGGGAGAATGGCATATTTTTTTGTTACAGATGATTGAGGTGAGGAGTATGACCTCATGTGCCTCATCTCGCACATGATGGGTACGACATTACAACCATCTGTTGAAAAAAATTCAAAAAGCTTTTCACTCCCAAGATCTTGGGAGGAAAATATTTTTTCACCACCAGGGTAATGTGGCATGGCGGATGAGTGAGCTAAGGTGGTAGCCTCATCAAAGACTGGCTTCTTCCTTCTCTTCTGCCGGCCCACCATTCAGGTCATGCACCTTTTCTTGAACAAGCACCATACTGGACATATTTTAAATGCTGGCATGGGTTTCCAACCACTGGAAGACACAGACTGCTGAGGTTGCGGAAACCGTGCAAAGTGGAGCAGGTAAGTACTACTAACTTTGTTAGTTTTAGATTGTGGAATGCATTTAGGTCAGGTTTATTAGATGGGGGAAGTCCACTTTAAGTGTGAATTCAGAGAGTTTCAGCATGAAAACCAAGCAACAAGTATTTTTAGTATGACTTCAGAATTTGTAAAATTTCATGTTTCCTATTAGCAAAGTTTACAAATCTAGTACTGAACATAAATAAATACAGAAAATATTTACATGAAACACAATATATTTCCTTTTTTATATTTCCCAGATGTGTCCTTTAAAAAATAGGTTCTACGGCAGTACATAAACAATATTATCACACTATATTGGCTAACTTATGTATTTCCCACTGCTACCAAGTGCAACATATTTGTTTTGGCTTCATAAAGTTCCACTGTATTAGGCTTTCAGTAATGGATTGAAAAGACCAATAGATTCATTTTTGAACGCTAGTTACCTAATGTAGTCACATGATCTTAGGTGACAGGGCTTGGGTGTAATGCTGATTGGTCAGAATAGTTATTCTATGAGAGCTTGAACTCCATAATTAAACATGTAAATACCCTTGCAGTGGACCGTGGACCCCTGCCCCAGCACTACAAGGGATAAATGCTCATTAAGTCTAGGGCTAGAGGAATAAGCTGTAACATTTCCCTCATGCATCGCTGTCCAAATGCACAGTGCATGACTATTGCATCTGCATTCCATGTGATGACATCAGAGTGGTCAAAGTGCCAAAGAGAAGTGGCTTCAGGGGTACTGGTCTCACAGCGCACAACAGGGGTGGGCAACTCCAGCCCTCCAGCTGTCCTTTAACTACGAATTCCAACGTGCCCCTGCCACTGGGGGTCATGCCTGTACCTGTCAGTCTTACAATACCTCATGGGTCTTGTAGTTCCACAACAGCTGGCTAGAGTTGCTCACCCCTAGTGTAGAGGAAGCCTGACAGAGCGAAGAATAAGGTAAGTATTGCAGCATATTCCTTACCCCCAGACTTAATGGGCATTTAACTTTTGCAGTGCGGGAAGGCTCCACCGCAAGGGTATTTGTTTTCTGATGTTCTCTTTAGCTAACCCATGGTGCTCTCTGGAATCCCTTTGTCATGCACTATGTGCATTATCTGCAGTCCATGGTATGAGATAGCAAAGATTTTGCTTATTTGCAACTAAGATACCTCTTCACAGGTCTTGTCGGCATCATCCGTGGAAAAGTTTAGTGCAGGCTTCATACAAATGGAGAAACGTTCTATGGTGCAAGGTTTTACTTTCCAGTTTCCGTCCTAGAATACAGCCAAAGAAAAATATTTAAGACTCACATTTTACTGCTAACCATACATGTCCACATGATCACATGTACCGTATATGAGATAAATGAGCAATGGTGGTGGACAATAGAAATAGAAAACTGATAGAAAACTGATAGAAAATGAATGATAAAATAAACAACTTGCCTTTTGGTCACAGTGATTGATTCTAATAAAAGCACCCTGCAAAGGAAGGCTATTGAATTGTACTTTGCTCTCTTGAAGGGCTACGGCCTCCAGAAAAATCTTGGCATCTGACACACTTGTGGGATCCTCCACTGTGTGCTGTGGTTCCATTCCACCTGCCAGCCTTAATGTTACTACTCTGTCCTGTAATGACACTGAAAGTGCTAGATGCTATAGATTTTGCTGGTGACCATGGTTCTTAAAGGATAATTAACCCCAAGAACAAAAATTTATAAATTGCAGTTTACCAGATTTAAATGTGGTGGCTGCATTAATTTTCATTTTACAGGCTAAAATTTTTTTCAGCAAGTACAAAAAATTGTTTTTGATTTTGCTGGAACAGCTATGCCCTTTTCACTTACTGCGAGCTGAAATAAAAGAACAAGCAATGTTATCTTCATTCTTTAAGCTACTAATCTCCCCAACCCAATGGAGATGAAGACATGTTTGAAGTCCACCCTGGGTGACAACGAGGGACGAGTTTTGGTTCGGACCGAACCTGGTCCGAACCTGGAAGGGACATGGGGCCACCCACCTAATCAGCTGTGGGGCAGGGCTTTCCTTGCCCCGCAGCTGCACATAAACAAAGAGGTGAAATGCTTGCGCTGACATCATTGAATTTATATGGCCACATGGTAATATGGCCACATGGTCAATGTCATTGGTCACATATCGCCGTGTGGCCATATAAGGTCAATTATGTCACATCACCTTATCCTTTGCTTACATGCATCTACCAGCGGAGGATTTCCTGGCTGCAGCTGTTTGGGCGACAGTGGAAGTAGCTTCCTCGCGTGTTTAGAGGAGCTTAGGTTCAGTCCAAACCTGAGCTCATCCCTAGTGACAACCAGGGCTCCTTCCGTAGATACAGTGGATTGAGGGAGTGTTGTCACTCTAAAAAGTGTGTTATTTGCAGAACTGCTGGGTTAAAATAAAGGAAAAAAGAAAACCAATGCAGTTACCTCAACCTAGGACAAGTAAGTTATATTAAAATACATTTTTGTTTTTTGGGTTTCAAAAGAGAGGTACAATTTAGGAATCTTCTTTTAAAGAAAACAATTTGACAGCGAATAAGCAGGCAAGTCACCAGCCTGCTTATAAAATACAGACAGCTTGAGAAATATGTCCCTTAGACTGTGTGACCTTGTACACGTTTCTAGTTTCCTGTACAGTATTACTCGTTCACGGACTATGTTTTGTTGCCCAAATTTGCCTTTTTTTAATGTATAAAGGAATGTTGGAAAGCAAACAAATCAGAGGTTCTCTTACAGATGTTTGTGTGGACACACACAGGTCATTGTCCTCTTGGCTGATGTTGGGTTCCTGCCTCTGCCAACTGGTGAAGGTCACCGCTGAGCCATCTGACCATTGAAAGATTACAGGGTCCTTACGTTTGCTGGTCATTCCTATCCAGGCTTCCGTCACTTTCTCTACAATAGTATAAAAAGTATATAAAGAAATAAAACCAGGGTAATGTCCATTTCCTTGTTTGAGGGTCTTGTGTTGATATATTGTTGACACAGTAACATCAAACAAACAAATTGCATTTTTTTAAATAGAAACCTGCACTGAGAGAAATATGAAAGCTGTCATAGCTATCTCTGGGAAATGCTAGTAATCTGAATGTCTCTGGCTTCATAAACTGATCTTAAACAAGTATATGGATTGGAAAGAGTGAAGTCAAGACTCCTGATCTACATATCAATTCTAGGTCTGTGACTAAGCTGGCCATACACCAGTAGAATTCCACTATGTTTTCTAATGGTCAGTGAGGTCAAATTGGTGATCGTTTTTGATCGTAGGAATGGGGAAAGACAGCAGGATGGAACATTTTTCTTGTTTCTTATCTAAACTTACAAAATTCTAATCATGGATGTGATTTTCAGTTGGAAAAAATCCTACATATTGTAAGGCGCATGTGACAGGCACAAAAGAAGCCTGTTTACTAGACATGTGCGATTCATTTCAGAAAAATGTGTTTTAAATTAATAAGTTGCCATTGCACAACACACATAAACGCGACATATAAGAAGCATGGGTTAACACAACAACGTGCATTTGACCTTAAAGAGGAACTTTACCCAAATCTTCGAAATGACAACAAATACACCTTTAGAAATGTTTAGTAATGTCAATCTACAAACACATACTTCTAGATAATTGCAGACTTTGCATTCTTTACATACCTTATTTTTCTTTTTCTATGAAAGGGAGTAAAGGTCTGCTTTAATATGAAATGAATTGCAATGACAATGACCAATCAACAATCATCTCTAACCTGACCTCACTATAGTACACTGACAACTGATACAGTTTACACTCATGCTTTTCTATTAAAGACCAGTACATCACACACTTAACATTAGTTGTTAGCTTAGTCCTGTTGGCAACTTAGCCCATGTCACCAGTGTGGCTGTACAGTCTGGCAGATCTGTGTAAATCCCAGAATTGGATGGACAGAAATACGGATCCATTGGCAGGTAAAAATGCTCAAATATATGTATTTCAACTGTTTTCCTTCAGCTGTAAAGTGACATTAAAGTAAAAAAAATGTTTTCCTCCCCCCAATGTTAATGTCAGCACTTACCTTAAATTATGTCTCTTAATGCGATCTTTTTCTTCTTTCCTGATGTTTTCATCTGTCCCTCCAGCGGTGCGGCGGCTCTCCGATCCAGCGCTGACCCTCTGTCCTTGCTGGCACTTCCTTTCCCACGGTGTCTGCATGCAGGTGCATGCGTCCAAAGACTTACCTTGCGTATCTCCTCGTCTCATGGCCGAAAATCCAAACTGCGCATGCGCCCGCTCCAAGATGCTTTGCAGCCGCCCGAGCAGTTTCGGATTTTCGACGGGAGCGCGGGGCGAAGACGGGGTAAGTTTAAACCGCTATTAAAGCGTTTTATTTACTTTTTGCATGTATCTACTGCTCGCTAGCAGTAGATATATGAAAAAAGAAGGGTTTAGAAACCCATTAAGGTAAAAATATAACACGGCAAAGAAATTCTTATTTAAAATTACATATTCTCTCACCACGTTGAAGAAGATGCATCAGAAACTCAGTGTGTGCCAGTGAGTTGACTTGCATTAATTCCCCTCCATTGGTGGCACAAGCAGCAGACGCTTGGAACCAGTTTAGCTTCTCTTTCTGCAGCCTATAGCAGTAGCGGTTGTAAGGTAGCCACTGATCTTCACACACCGTTGAGTAGTATTTCCAATTTTCTTTCATAGAGAAGATACAAAGCATTTATTAAAATAATATAGCAATCTAGAATAATTGTAAATGACTGTCATTAAAATTTTTTAATAAACTCCTTGTAATAGTAGCCTCGGAAAATTTGAGTATACTCGAATACTTTGAGTCTGGACTCTGCTATCTTGATGCACTACAGCCCCCAGCAAAGTCTTCAGAATATGACACTACTAGGAGTTTTGGATGCCTGTGTCCCCTGCCACATATTGTGCTTCCTTCCTTCAACTCCTTTGCCACTTCGGTACACAGTAGTGACCTAGAGTTCAAAAGGAGGAATTCACCCATTGATGGGTTGGATGCTAACATTCTGCCATTGACTGTAGTGTTTGGACCCGCCCGAGTTGTAGGTATTAAGAAACTTAATTGCTTTTTTACATTTCTAACTAACAAGGACAGTAAAAGTATTGCCTCAATAGAATAAGCATGAGCACAGATGAGCACTGATTTAGGATAGGCTTAATTGAAGAAATACGTTTTCGGGGATCATCTAAAGATGGACAGAGTAGGAGATAGCCAGACAGATTTGGGCAGGAGATCCAGAGGATGGGAGAGACTCTGGAGAAGTCCAGCAGGTAAGGATGGGAGGAGGCGTCACGGAAGCTAGAGAACAGGAGGTCTTGGGAGGAGCGAAGAGGACAGTTTAGATGACATTTTGAAGTGAGGTTGGTAATGTAGCCGGGGGATAGTTGTGGATGGCTTTGTATGTTGTTGTTACGATTTGGAATTTTATTCATTGGCAAAGAGTGACATTGTGTGGCCGGTAAGGTGGATGAGACTGGCAGCAATATTCATGATAGACTGAAGAGGGGATAATCTGGGTAGAGGTAGGTTAATGAGGAGGGAGTTGCAATAGTCAAGGTGTAAGTTAATAAGAGAGTGAATAGTAGCTTGGTGGAGTCAGAGGTTAGGAAGGAGCGAATTTTGGAAAAGTTACGGAGGTGAAGGCAACAAGATTTGATCACAGTCTAGGATTACACCTAACATCCTGGCTTGAGGGGAGGGAAGGATAGTTGTGTAATTGATCTTGATGGAAAAGTCGGGGAAGGGGACGTAGGGGGAATATTAGGAGCTCATTTTTTAAACATCCATTCTGGTATGTTGGTCAATAAATTAGTGATGTCTGAGGAGACATGGAGGGATGAGGTAATCAGTAGAGAGATAGATTAGGGTTGTCAGCATGAAGCTGGTATTGGAAGCCATACACGGTTAACAACTGACTAAGGGAGGAGGTGTAGATGGAGAATAGAAGGGGCCAGAGAACAGCGCCTTGGGAGACCCCTACAGAAGGAGGAAGAGGAGAGGATTTAAGTAGTATGTGCATCTTAGGATCTGCGTAAATACTGTAGAACTCCAGCCCAAACTATTTTGTTTCAGATAGAGTGGGAAAGGATATTGTTAGATCGCAGTTATAGGAAGTGCAGGGAACTCTTACAGGGCCACACAGAAGAAAAAAAAGCCTAAAAGGGGTTTTAGCCATAACACATAAAAAGGTTTTGATTTTAGATATGCTACATAAGAATCAGATAAAGCAACAGGTTTGCTTTAATCCCATCCCAAATATACCAACATATATGGCCACCTTCCCTCTGCTGCCTCACTGTTTTGTTCAGCACTGAGACCTGCAGGAAACACCCGCTATTCAAGCACACAACTTCATATAACAATGTTGGTCCAATTAGGAAGGTTACATGGGGAGTCTATAGCCCTGGGTAGCCTATGGCTCAAGTGACTCCAGCCTATACGGGCTTTTACTCCCGGCGGACACGCGGAGAGGCATTGAGAGAAAGGGAAGTAAATAAATGCTGAATGGGCAAAGCATAGATTTACTTTAAGCTTGTGGGGGATGAGAAATCGCTTTCAGAGCAAGAACATAATAGCAAGAACATAATATAATCCACAGGTTTTTTTTCACTGCAGAACTACTACTTTCCCCATAAAAGTCTATGGGGATAAAAAAGTAGCTGAAGCTGGTCTAACACAGATCAACTGCGCTTCCAATGAATTCTGAATGATCTCAGAAGCATCTCAAACTGATGTGAAAAGCACACTGCCATCAAATCTCATCACACACCCTAATTGTTTTACCAACTCACCAAAGTTATCATGCTGTCCTGGAGTAAGGTACTTCTTACAAGCATATGGCAGTTTGGCTGCCCCAACTAAGCTGTACCAGGTGTTGTTTGCTGCAGTGTCATGGACTCCGCAATGTTTCTGCCCAGTCAGATAGAATTTGAAATCTGCACGTCAAATAATAGGTCAGTATCAACCAAATCTAGTCAAATTCCATTATCACTCATACTCAGGAAAGACCAGAGGCTAGGCACAAATCCTTAAACATTAACATTTTAGATGTTATATTAATTTTGGACATGATGCACTTGTCAGTAATTCATAAATGTGCTAAAAACAGACTTATGTATTGCGGTGTTCCTTAAAGTGTATGTAGACCCTAACAATGAACTTCCCTTATTTGCTCCCTTTTGGTCTCCGAAAGTGAAAGTGTTTTTTTTTATATCTGTATGCACACAAATACCTGTTGATCTTGACAAAAATCCAGTCCTGTGCACAATATTATCTCAAGTAGTATTATCAGTCCTGCCCAGGTTAGTTCAGTGGACTACCAAACCCCTACTCCCCATGTTATAGAGATGGGGAGAGGGGTAAGTCAGGTGTACTGTTGTCGTGTCCTAGAGTCACAATGCAGCATCTCCATAGATGTAGTATAGTGAGTGTCACCTTAGGACAGAAAGAGTCTTACTAGCAAGATTAGCAGGTGAAAACTGATATAGCTACAAGACCTAAGGACTGGTAAACTGCAAAATATTTTATCGTTGCTCTTATACACACTTTAAAGGAAAACTATAATGCTTTTTGGTCAATATTAATTTTTCTTTGACTTTTATATGTTTTTATATTGATGTTTTATATTTTCCTGTATTCAATCTTTGTCTCATAAATAATCAGTATGAGTGATAGAAAGTAATCTAAATATTTAATACTTAGCATAGAATTCCAAGAGCTTTATTGGCTTTCTAAAGAGAGAGGAGGAATAGAAGAACTATAAAGAGATTTGTATTTATTTTTGAAAGCCTAACTCTTGCTGTGTAAATAGTAAATAAAAAATAAAAAAAACTACCCTTGCGGGTGGGGCTCCCCTGCACTACAAGGGTTAGATTCTAATTTTGTTTGCTCATTTTTCTCTAGGGTATTGTTAAAAAGCACTATTGCTTATCTTATCCCTCTCTCCAACAGGCTCCTCCTTCCATACTACCAGTCCCCCGAGGAAGCTTATCCCCCTAGGGTGCTTCGTCAGTTGCACTCTGACACATCATCACTTATAATACAGGACCAGTAGCATGCCGTGGCCCCACCCACAACCTGGAATGTTGAAGGGAAGAGGAGAGCAGTGACTGGCGGGGGGAGTGAGGGATAAGGTTAGTACAGTAGATTGTAAGCTTTCACGGGCAGGGCCCTCCTTACCACCTTGTCTTGATTTGTATTGTAAATGTAATGTCTTCCTTATATTTTAAAGCTCTGCACAAAATGTTGGCGCTATATAAATACTGTATAATAATAACAATAAAATTGCTTTTCAACAGTACCCCTGGCAAAAACAAGCATTTAACCCTTGCGGGGGAGCCCCACCACAAGGGTAGTTTTTAAATTCCCCAAAGATTTCCCAGATGTATAGCCTCTGGAAAAACAGGGGAAAAAAGTCTGTCAAGTTTCTATTTCACTGCAGAGATTTTCTGTTATGGAAATCTTTTATTGATTACAGACTAAAATTGTTTATCAATTTGTGTTGAGATTGTAGTCAATCATGGGAGTGAGCTTGGCACTGTGGCTACTTTACAACACACACAGGGACCATGGGGAACCAAAGTAGCCACTGTCCTCCATTCTGGAGGGTGGCTTCTTTTGTTCCCCATGGTCCCTGTGGGTGTTGCAAAGTAGCCACCGCTCCAAGCTGACTCACGTGATGGACTATAATTTCAACACAAATGAAACATGAGATTGTAGTCCATTGCTGGAACTAGCTTGGAGCAGTGCCTAATTTACACCGCACAAAAGTAGCCCCCCTCCAGAAGGAAGGACAATGTCAGCACCAATTCAGAGATGATTTGAGGATCTACAGCCGAGTGATACACAAATAAGATACATTTTTGTTAATAGTTAAGGTACTTGAATACATTTTAAGATTTAACGCCTGAGTTTAGTGTTACTTTAATTTGGTCAGGTAGATTAAAATATATATATATGGTGCTCCAACATGGCATGCCAGACTACATGCAAGGAGTCAGGAATTCTCAGTCCGTATTACACACTTTTTTTTTCCATAACAGGCTAAATAAATGTATATAACTCTGTGCAAAAATCTTTAAAGTTTTTGATGTCACATAACAAACTTATGTACCAAAAAGATTTACAGAAAAGGATAAAAAACTGTAGATACAGTACTTGATCTCCAGTTGACAAAGGCGAAGGGGGAGCCATCTGACCACTGCCACCCAGAAGTGGTATCCAACTGATTGAGCCCAGTCCACAACACAACTCCCGTATCAGCCAATCTATCTGCATTGGTGAGAGAAACGTTAACAGGACATTGTGAAATATTCTTAGTCTCTTGTCTTTTTTTTTTGTAAAAGCAATACAAAATCCTCCAAAAAAACGTTGATATTCGGTAACTGGTGCAGAACGTGTGTCAGAAATTTTGCTTCAAGGCAAACATGGAAACCATTTAGCAGTAGTTGCAAATATGTTTATCATGGGCAACCAGTTTTTTGAAGGCCTATGTGCTTACTAACTCCACAGAGGTAAGCATAGACAATTCTTTGCGCACATATACAGTATTTCCAGCTTTAAAAAAAAATAATATGATGGTAAATGGTAAAAGTTAGTTCTTTTACTTTGTTCTTTACTTTTTTTTTCTACAATGTGTTGTAGAACTATGTGAGGTTTACCTTATTATGATTTGCATTTTTTGCTACCTTGCTGTGGTATTTGATTGTGATAACATTTTGTAAGCAAATGTGTTGACAAACAACAAACTGCAGATAAAAAAGTAATTTCAGTGTAAAGTTGCCCACAAAAGTCACAAAGTAGTCTATTGTGCAGGCATGATCTGACTGAACTGTTCTGGATAGAGTAGGAAACAGTTAAAACTCCTATCCCTGCTGGGGGGGTGGGGAGGGGCGCAGGTTTCTTAATTCTGTCCAGGTCTCTTTGACCTGGTCTCTTCAATCATGAAAGATAACACAATGTAATCAGTAAACGTATATGTGTTTTGACTCAGCATATTTGTTACTTTTTGGGTGTCAGCTGGATTCCTTAGCTGGCCCTCCAGTCGCAAGAGTTCAAAATATTGAAACCTCTCCAATCATAAGAGGTAGTCTGGATTTTGTTTTCAGTTCAATTTCTAAACTGAAAGACACTAGATGGAAGATAGCAACCAGCATTTTTTTGTCCTAGTGACCATTGTTACTGAGGCTGAAAGTAAGTGTAAATCTACAATTTAGAAAAGTTGTCAAAGGGGAAACCTTCCAATATGGACACTTGTTCCAATGAAAAGATAAGACAAAAGAAGATTTTCTTTGGAAAGATTTCCTTTCACTTCCTGTTGGGTCTCAAAACTACCCTATTCGGACACAGAGACCAAGAAAAAGCCTGACAGGGGTTGTTAACAGGGATGCACCGATACCAGTTCAGATACCTGGCATTTTCATGAGAACTACCAGGGTTGCAGCTGGGACCTGGCTCTGGCACTCCACCACTGTCCTGAAAGTCGATATTGTTTTAGAAAAACTGTCACATGACAACATACAAAAATGTTTCAGTACTTGTATCTGTCAGTACTTGGGCAAGTATCAGTACTTGCAAAAATGGTATCGCTGCATCGCTTATATATGTTTATAAAAACAAAATCATACATTAAAACAGAGATGTACAAATCCCAGGAGCTCCATGTGCTCCTTACAAATGACAGCTGCCTCCTAACTTTTGAATTTTTCTCTAGTCTAGTCTTGGAACTCGAAAAGTATCTGTACTTGTACTTGTACCGAGTACGGTACTTGGTATCGGTGCATCCCTAGTTGTTAACCATTGCACTTTTGTCTTTAGGTACACTTTGAAGTACAAGAAAGAAAATGTGATATTATGCAAGCTTCCTGGAAATATTTAGTCGCATTTCTCCTTACATTTTTGTCTATGATTTGTCTACTTACTGGAAATATACTCATGTTCAGCAAGATTTGTGATGCTTAGTAGATCTCCACCTTGTGCTTGACAAGATTCTCGGGCTTCATTCCAGGAGAGAGAAGACTCGAGATTGAACTGGTAGCAAGTATTTGTGACATTGTTTTCCTCCCATAACAAACCACAGCCGTCATCTAGAAAAAGAAATATAACTGTTTTAGATAAAAGAAAGATGTACTTAATCATTGTCAATTAAGATTCATGCTGTTCAGATATAAAATACTAAAAAGCCAGGTCCGTCTAAAGCTACATTATGGACCACCATCTATGGGCTCACATACCTACTGCCTACTTTGTTTATCTTAAAGATTTCAATGTTAGAAAATCTTGACCAGATTTAGGCCTCTCTGTTAGGTGCTACGGGTCAGATAAGGTTTCCTACAGACATTATAGGGGGATTGGACTTCAGGGCAGCCAGTACCCACAAGTGCTTCAAAGCACTCTGTATTTTTTCCAAGTTGGCTCTGTCATACTAGCAGGGCAGCCCAAAGAAATACTTTATTGAGGATTTCTTTCTTTCTTTTGTTAACTAAATACATGCAAGACAGAGAGGAAGATCAACGCACATGCAGATTCTGGTTGTGCTGCTGCCTGATCAATGTTCTTCCCAAGAGTTGTTGGCCTAGAGCAGTGGTTCCTAAAGTGAGCAGTACCATCCTCTGGTGGCAGTGAGAAGATCCAGGGGGCAGTGATAGAAAAGGCAGGGAGCATCAAAACTAAGGGAATGGAAAAAAGTCTGAAAATTGTACTTAATGATTTGGTCTGCATTGATTACTTGTTACGAGAATGGTGGCCTTGGGAGGCGGGCTTTAATTTATAGTATAACTGGTCCTGTGATTGGGTGGGGGGCGGAGCCATACCCATTGTATGCTGCCATGTATTGGCGTCAGGAAAAGGAAATTACCGATAGGTAAGTATACAATTTTCCGTAGTCTCTCCCAGGGAAAATCTCACGTATGTCTTCTATCCAGCTGTGGTTCTGTAACACAGTGTCTTCCTCTGCTCAACTAAAGTATTCCTGCACTGTTGAAGCTGGAAGGGATTGGTGAGTCTGGAGTCTATTTTTCATGCATGTCTGTAGCCCTATTCTACCCTCTCTCCCAGTTTGGCTGGTTTTACAATATAGCATTAAAAAAGTACTTAAAGTGACTGGCACCCAATTTATTATTCACATCCCATTCACAACCCGGCTAAGGATCCATCTTGCAGAGTGAAATGTCAGCCCTTCCTGCCTCAGGGGTTCACCACATGCCTTTGGGGGTCAGGGGGGTGCTACATTATGCTGTAACTATGCTCCTGCTTTATTCAAGTGGTGGTCGGGCATCAATCCCCTCCTTTACTTCCTGACTGGCAATAAGAATGCAGAACTCCTCTTCTCCATTTCTTCATTTTCTCACTATTAAAGTGGGGAAAAAACAGATGCAGAGATCTTAAATTTGTTTTTGTTTTTTAAAACAGACTCATGGAGTGTGTGAGAGGATTCGTTGAATGGGAGAATGCTCAAGAGGAAGGAAGTAGTTCCCACTGTGACTAAATCCAACACAAAAATGCAGACTTCAAGGAGGAAAGAACCAGATGTCCATAGTCCAATTTTTGGGTTTTCTCACGTAGAGGAAGGTCTACAATGGATAGAGGGATTAAACAAAAAAGGGCATGTAGGGGTAGAGGGGTTCCCAGATTATCCTAGAGAAAACGGTAATGGAAAAAAAAATCACATATACTCAGGAAGAGTAGACAATAGAAGCATCTTTTGCAGGGACTGTGCATTGACTCTTTTCGGTGAAGGTTTCGAGGCATTCCATGCAGGGCCGGATTAACAGAATCATAGGCCTGATGCTGTTGGTCAATTGGATGGGAAGCAGCAGACGGCTGCTCGCTCCTCCCTGGGGCCCTGCAAGGCTCCAGTGGGCGGCTGCCTATTATGCCTGATTACAGAGCCGGCAAGACAGGCATACCTAGGCGATCTGGGCCGGCCGGGCCTATTTTCAGTGGTGGGTTTGGAGTCCCTATGTTAATCTGGCCTTGATTCCATGATGGGGAAGCAAGGAAATAGGGGCACAAGAGAGGTGTCAGTGTTATGGGTAGAGAGTGAAAACTCACAAAATACACTGAAGAGTCTAGTTTCACAAGTACAAGGGCACAGTGGAAACTGGACCCTATGGAACTAGGGAGTAACAACGGAGTACTTTAATGGAAAGAACTCCATTAGAGTGCGCGATAAAGTGTGATATACACAGATTAATAGTAGGAATCAGAGGTGCAGGGAACTCAGGAGATTTTGGAAAAAAGCAAAATAGGGTGTAATAATACTAGAAGAATAAAAAAATAAAATAAGGTGCTTGATTTAAAACTATAAAGGAAAACCAGCGGTGATAAAATCACTTGTGGGCTCAGTCCTTACTGGTCCGCATAACAGGGGGAGAGGTGGGGCATGTCCTTTGGCTAAATATTTTGTGCTGACAGGTGCCCCTCATTCCCATCTTGGAAAATCATAAGGTATGATGTTGGGGGGTTGTCAGGAATGGGTGTCATCTCCCAAATACAATTAGATTCAAGGCTGTTCCACCAGTTCAGTTCAGTTAAAAGTGTGGTATTATTGCTTTCATTTATGAGGCTGTAAATACCAAAATTTATTGTCTGTTCCAGCTACTTACACACCTAGTAATATTATATTAGCATAACTCTCAGAAGTATCTATTTTATTGGCAGTAATCGTGTTGTACTTTGTTAGTCATTATTAGAAGATTAAATATGTAGAGCTGATGTATTTGTTGTTGGCTAAATCATTAAATTCAAATTGCAAGTTCAAGCATCTCAGGCATACACAGAATGCAAATTGCAGGAATGCATGTCAGTGTGTTGCATTGTCTTTCATTCTGAATGGCACCCCAACACACAAATAGAGTAGGGACTGACAACCTTGTAGTGCAGTGGAACCAGTGGCGGAACTACCAGGGTCGCAGAGGTCGCGGCCGGGCCCTGGAGTTCGGCCACTTGGAGGGGGCCCAGGACAGGAGGAAGGGGCCACTGGTGACCGCTGATTACCAGTCCCGGGACCTCTTCCTCCCGTCCTGGGCCCTACATGCTTCACGTGGTTCCCTTCATGGATTCTTGCATGGGGCCCTGAGGTCACTAGTTACGCAACTGAGTGGAACATAAGGTTGCAGGTGTGGTTCAAAAACACAATGTACAACTACATGTGGCACAATACGTATTATTGCACATGCATTAAACCAATTCGCTACAATGCTCAAATGGGAAGGGGCTCCAGATCTATATACCTTTGCAAAGCAAATCTTCAAGTGTACATTTTCCAGTTTTTATTCTGAAGTCACGGTTTTGGTATCTACCAAAGGAGTAGTGTGTAGTAGTTTACTAAATAGGGGTTGGGTAGCTTTAGACCATGGTAAGATTTCAGAGCGCTGGCAGTAAGTTGTACAGCAAATGTATATTATTTCATCAAGTTATCCCTTGCTTTAATTTTGTTTTCATGTTTTTATATAGCTAGTATGGGTATCAGAATCTGATTTAAATTAGCTTCCTGTATTTCTCCTTACAACAAGTCTCAGGGTTGACTATATTGCACAGTACTTTCAAATTCACATTTGTGACTTGCTGACAGAATGAGTGAGCAGAGTGGTAAATTCATTGGTATGGTTATGATCCTTCATTGTCCAATCAGCAGGCTGAGGGTTGTTGGCTGTACTGGAGTGGACCGAAATCAGAAAACTTTATATCTGATGTGAGATCATATATACTTTACCAGACATGGGGCAGTATCCCCATTTTTTGTTCTTGTCATAGGATATGGTGGTGGCACACCATGGCATTCCATCAGATCTTCCGCTCGTAGTACATTCATGGAATGAGCTGTTTTGGTATTTAAATGGAAATACACAAGACTTTCCTCTGGAATTCCCTTTAAGAGTAAAGATTTCTGCAAGACAAGGTAAGTATATATCACAATGGGAGCAGATATAATAGGTAATGACAGTGATACACACCACAAGGTAACATAAACACCTGACTGTCTCTGGTATTTTTTTTCATTTGGTTTCGCATGGAGGCCCAATGAGAAAAGTTCAATTCATATCAAGTAATTTTCATATCTGTGATAACATTGTTTTTGAGTTTTGGGTAGCGTAGGAAATGGTTACAACCTGTGTTGAGCATTTATTGCTCCCCATTGGGGAGATCCATCCCTCTATCTGTACTGGTGACCACTGTCAAAGGGAAATTTTCCCAATGGTACAGCAAAAATTAAAACCTACAGGGGTTTTAACTAGAGGTGCACCAAAATGAACATATGTAAACTGAAAATAAAAAAGTGTCAGGCCGAAACCAAAACTAATTTTTTTTCTAACCTTTTTAAATTTTTTTAAATATTTTATTTTTCATTTTATTTTTTATAAACGTTTTAATTTTCGAATATATATATTTTTTTCTTGCTTTATTTTTATTAAATATTTTTATTTTCTAACTTTATAGGACTTATATTAAAGCTTATACACTGCTTGATAAGAAAAAAAAAATACTTTGATGTCCTAAGCTAGTTTGGTGTAATTAAAGGAAACCTCTACCGAGAGAGACATATGGAACCTGCCACTGTGGCATGCTGCTGAAAATGCTGAACTGACTGTCTCTTGTTTCGTTATTTTCTCATTGAATGACCTACAACAAGCATGCAACTATCGAAGTCAAAGTCATTCAGAATCGGTGAACAGTATACTTTTTTCTGGGTCCGTTTTCAAAAGGTTAGCTACAGCTCGCAGTATACTGAGACGCCGCAGCTGAAGCGGATCCTGACATCTATGTCTGGATCCGCCCAGCTGCGTGAGTGACAGCTGGCTCTGCCTATCTAGAGGCAGAGCCAGCTGTACCGGCCCCCTCCCCCGTCCATTCCGCCAGTCAGCACTGGAGGATCGGAGCGGCGAGGGGGGAATCCAGCCCCTCCCCTGTCATGGCAGAGAGCCGTGACAGGATTGAGAAGTGAGCGAACGCCGGTATGTGTTCACTCACTTCCCGATCTACTGAGCCAACCTGTGACAGTCTCATTGTCACAGGTCGGCTAGAACTATGAGGTGAGTGAAAAGCACTCATCTCATAGTTCTCCTTTAGAGCCAATGAACCAACTTGCTGAAGGAGAGATCAGCAATGGCAGTCTCTGTATTTCTGTCCTCATAGGTTTACTTGAAGCAAGGCCAGTATAAAACAAAATTAGGCGAAACCACCTATCTTGTCATGCTAAATGCCTGGGTTTGTATGCAAACTTAATAAGTTAAACGTTACCTTTGAAATTGTAGTCACATAAATTATCATCAAATGATCTGTAAGGTCTCCATTTATGAGATAATTCTTCACTGGCAACCACTTTTTCTCCGACAGCAGCAAGCTTGTAATTGTCGTTACCAATCAAAAGACCACCAAGGCACTGCCAGCTCAGTGTGCGCTGGTTGGAATCACATTCAATCAGAGCAAGGGGCTCTTTAGGGTATTGGAGGTCCAGTCCAAGGCACTTCCTGCTTCCAAGGTTGTACAGCCTGTGTCCTGTACCCCATTTCCATAGCATGTCATCATTAAAGGGCTCGCAGCTTGTCAGAAAAATGCTGTTTTCGTTTACTGATATGCACAAATGGTTCTCTCCACTTTCTAGAGCAAACAGATCTGGACCTGCAAAAACATAATTGGTTACGTTTCAGCATGTTGTACACATGTAAACCCTATCTGAATGACATTTACAGGGTTATTCACTAAAGGGGGAATAGTTTGGAGAAGGCAGGAGACATGAACAATCTATTTGGAATTTGGAAAAATTCTCCAATTCAGCTCACTTTACAGGTCAGCTACGTTGTCCTAGATTGTTCACGTCTCCTGCCTTCTCCAAACTCTTCACCCTTTTGTGAATAGCCCTGTCAGTTTTCTAAAGCATAAATCATCAACAATGCCATGCTTTTTGTTTCATAAAATACCATTTTCATCTTTGATGCATATCAACACTTCCGATATCTTGCAACCTGTTTTGCTGCAACTTCCTGTCTACAAGCAAATGCTGCACAACATTTTGGTCAGTGGAGCATGCCTGTGCAATGTGCATTGGCATGGACAATTGTAGTCTTTGCTGGGAGAGAGTGTGATATGGTGACAATGTAGGAGAACAAGGCACAGAGCATTGTCACCCTGAATGGGCAATGTAGCCATGCCTTTTTTAAGTCGAACTACAGTTAAAACAAAATTAGGTAGAGTTGTTTCGTTTCTGCCAAACAAACCCTACTACCTGTCTGGTAGAAATTATTTTTATTTGTACATTGAATGGGGCACATGCGCTGTGGACAGTCCAAGCCAATTCCCGACCTGTGTAAAATGGCGAGAATGGAGCTGGATACTGGGAATATGTAACTGTAGAGTGCATCAATAGTCGTCCAATAGCCGAAGAAAGGAGGCACCAGCCTTAGGGCTAGTTCATACCAGCCTTAGTAGTGCGTTCTGGCCTGATTGTAGCCGGAACACACTGGATCGCATTCCGGTCAGCTCACTTTGTTAAGGGGGGGCGGTGGCGCTGCATTGAACTCGATGGCACCATAGCCATGCCCTCCGACCGCAGTGCGATCAGCCACATGGGAATGCATGGCACATCAATGCCTGTGTTCAGGTCCAGTGCGGTCAGAAAAAATTATGCATGCACTATTTTTTTTGACCGCAGAGGACTGGAACACAGGCATTGATGTGCCACGTGTTCACATGCGGCCGGTCACACTGTGGCTGGAGGGCATGGCTATGGTGCCATTGAGTTCAATGCACTACCATGCCCTCTCCCGCCCCATAACAAAGTGAGCCAGCCGGAATGCGATCCATTGCGTTCTGGCAGAATCCGGCCGGAACGCACTGAGGCTGCTGTGAACTAGCCCTTAGAGAATAGCAAAAGAAGATGACAGGGGTTGGCAATGCAGAAGTAGCGGAGAGCATGGACATCACATTGCTGGAGGAGAACAGATACCAAGGTGAGTCTGCATTATTGTGTGTTTTGTTGTAACCTTAAAGTGTATCCAAACCCAACAACAAAAATTTAATATTGCAGCTGTCTAGTCCTCATGGGTGCTGGCTGCATTAATTTCCTTTTCTTTAGGCTTTTTCCCTTTATTTTCACCTGGAGATGCTTCTAAAACACACACTTCCTGTCCTAGGGTGACCACACTCACAGTGTACATCTATAGAGGAGCAGAGCAGCATTGTCAACCTAGGACAGAAGGTATTGTAGGACTACAGGGCATCCCCCCCTCTTCTCATCTCCATAAGTTAGTGGGGAACTATTCTGTAGTTCTCAGAGAACTCATGATCACTATGTTTCATATTTGGTGACAATGCTTCAAAGCCCAAAGATTGTGGATCAGTGTATACAGTCTGATCCGTTCCGTACTTCACTGCAATCAACAACAGGATCTCTGGTAAGCCCTGCTGAAAAGGAAGGTTCGAAGTCTCACAAAATATGAAGGCACATATTGGCTAATCACCTTTTCTCTAGCTGCGAGCCAGATGATTGTAAAATTCTGGCTGCAAGCCAGGTTAAAGGCGAAGTCCACATTTTGCAAAAAAACAATAAATGTACAAACATTAATAAAATATAAAGTTTGCATTTAGTGATTCTTTTGCATGGGGGCCTGCAAAGCATTGCAACTGTGATCAGTGGATCGTGGGTGCAATGCTCTGGCTTCTGCAAACTCTTCCTCCCAACCCCTGTCCGTACCAAGGTATGGACTTTCAGATACAGGGATGGGAGGAGGTATAAATGGACTACAAGTGCGGTGAGGTCATTGAGAAATATGAGTCCCTCTGCCGCGGTGGCTCACAAGACTTTCTTCCTGAAAAAGGGTCAAAAAGATGGAGTTGATCTTAAATTTATGGGGAAGTTAAACAACACATTATGGGTGCCATGATCAATAAGAAATTCACGACCATTCCTAATGATACATACTCCAAATTCTTACAAGTCTGTTCTCCCTGTATTGAATACCTTGGAATTTGTGGGTTTGACCTCACAGATTACTGTGTCTTTGCTACTCTCTTGGATTATAGAGCTCATTCACAAGGACCAGCTGCTTGCACTTGGACATGTGAATGGTATCCCTCCAGCAGTTATCCCCCTACCCATCTTCTTTCCTTTTCTCTTTGGCTCTAGGCTTCTTACTCTTTTCTTATTTCTCCACTCTTTTCGCCAGCCTCTCTTTTCTTTATTTTACCCCATGCTTGCTTTATGGAACTTACATTGGCCTGCTACTTTTTTGGACTGAACATACTAACAATAACTAACATACCTCTTCTTCCCTGTGGGAATTTAACAGTATATGTAGTTCTATGTTTGACACCAAGAGAAGTGTGTGGAATACAGAGTTTGCTTTATCGTAAATTATTTGAGCTACGTGTTAGTATTTTTTATTGTTCCTTTTGAACTTTGAATATGCAAAGATATGTTCAGGGGTTGTTACTGTGCCTCACCACCACTATTAAACTCTAATGCACTGTCTTTACTTCAGTGCTTCCTTCATCTATGCAAAACCTTCATAAAATCATTGCAAAAGAAATATATTTAGCCCCTATAGAGGATAGCTTTAAAATCGCACATCTAATACAGCGAAGGAAATATGGTTCAGTAAGCATCTAAAAACTGAAGGTGCTAAAAAGTAAGCCAAAAATATGTCCTTATTGAATCGTAGTTAGATCTTGTGCATTCTTTCATGGTGCACTCACAATATAGATCTAAATACCATCTATTGTTTGGGAAGCACCCTCTCTGGGTGTTTTCGAAAGCAGGCTTAAGACATATCTATTTACCCAGGCTTATAGCAACACAAATCCTTCTCTTCAAACATCAATTTGACAAGCACTTCAAGTTCCCAGGGTGAAATGCACTATAGAAAAATGATTATTACTATTAATGTTATAACATTAAAACTATTAAAACTATTTATTTCATTTTGAATATGGTAGGGAAGGGTTAAAACCCCCACCAGGTTATGTTTTGCTGTCTGTGTACCATTTTAAGCAAAAAATTATGACCATCCACCTAATATTGCGTAGGTCCCCCATGTGCCGCCAAATCAGCCCTGACCCGTCAAAGCATGGGCTCCACTAGACCTCTTAATGTATGATGTGGTATCTGTCACCAAGCCATCAGTAACAGATCTTTTAAAGGAAACCTATGGGGCAACCTTTTTTGTTGTCCTCCGGTGACCCAAAACTCAGTATATAGCGGGCTAGCACACTATATGCTGAGAGCACAGAGCCATGCCGCAGCCAGGACGGATCCCGACAATACTGTCGAGATCCTCCCCGTTGGCTGATTGACAGCTGGCCCTGTCCGCCTGTTCCCCCAATCAGCGCTGGAGAAACAGAGAGGGGAGGGGGGGAATCGGGAAGTCAGTGATCGGCGGTATGTGTTCGCTGACTTTCCGATCAATAGAGCCGACCTGTGACAGCTTCAGTGTCACAGGTCGGCTTGAATTATGAGTATGAGTGTGTTTCACTCACCCCATATTTCTCCTTTAATTCGTGTAAGTTGCAAGGTGGGGCATCCATGGATCAGACTTCTTTTTACAACACATCCCACAGATAAATTGAGATTTGGAGAATTTGGAGGCCAAGTCAACACCTCCAACTCGTTGTGTTCCTCAAACCATTCTTGAACCATTTTTGCAGTGTGGCAGGGTACATTATCCTGCTGAAAGAGGCCACTGCCATCAGGGAATACCAGGGTGAAGGGGTGTACTTGGTCAGCAACAATGTTTAGGTTGGTGGTACGCGTCAAAGTAACATCCACACGAATGGCAGGACCCAAGTTTTCCCAGCAGAATATTGCCCAAAGCATCACACTGCCTCCACCGAGTTCTCTTCTTCCCATAGTGTATCCTGGTGCCATCTCTTCCCCAGGTAAGTGACACACATGCACCTGCCCAAGCACATAATTAAAAAAACTTGATTCATCAGAGCAAGCTACCGTCTTTCATTGCTCATGTGCCTATTGTAGGTGCTTATGGCAGTGAACAGGGGTCAGCGTCACTACACGTAGCAAACTGCAATTCAATCTGTTCAGACACCTTTCTGTCGCAACCAGCATTAACGTTTTCAGCAGTTTGATGTATAGTAGCTTTTCTATTGGATCGGACTACATTGGCCAGATTTCGCACCCCATGTGCATCAGTGAGCCTTGGCTGTCCATGACCGTGTCGCTGGTTCACCAGTTTTCCTTCCTTGGACCATTGCAGATGGGGATGGGGAACATTTCCCATGAGCTGCAGTTTAGAAGTTGCTCTGACCCAGTCATCTAGCCATCAAAATTTGGCCCTTGTCAAAGTCTCTTAAATCCTTAGGCCTGGTTCACACCTGGGTGTTTAACAGCACGTTCCTACGCGCTGTAAAACGCTCAACATGTGAAAACCAATGATTGCCTATGGGCATGTTTCCCACCTGGGCGTTTTACAGCGCGTAAGGAACGCGCTGCAAAACGCCCTACGTCCAAAGAAGTACAGGAGCTTCTTTGGGGCGTATTTGCCACGCGTATCCATTAGGATACAGCCGGATAGCCCTCAGAAACGCGCGTTTGTCATGCGTTTCTTTTACCGCAAATCGCGGTAAAAACGCGCGGCAAACACGCATATTACGTACGCCTAGGTGTGAACCCAGCCTTACGCTTGCCCATATTTTTCTGTTTTAACTGCCTAATATATCCCACCCACTTCCAAGTGCCATTGTAGCAAGATAATCAGAGTTATTCACCTCTCCTCTCAGTGGTCAGAATGTTACGGCTGATCACGTAGGGATGCACAGATACTTTTCGAGTACCAGTGCCGATACTTGGCATTTTCATGAGAACTACCAGGGTTGCAGCGGTTGCAGCTGGGACCTGGCTCTGGCACTCAAGTTTAGTAAACGACTTCCTGTGCTCTTACACAACATTTTACATACAATGAGTGTACAGATACAATGATACATTTTGCTGTGTGTTGCACTCACTGTATGATGTGGAATCTGCAGGACTGGTTGGAACAGAGAACCCAATCAGGAGCAGAAAGCCAAGCGTACTGCTAATCGCTGTGTGCGGACTTCTTGCTGGAGTCATGACTTGTGCAGAAATGGATATCACAGAACAATTTTCTCATAGTGGAATGTAAAGCGTCTTCTTGTCTGGCATAGATTGGGGTGGGAATAGTTTGTGGGCTGTCTCATCATTTTACAAAGCGTTTGCCATAGGAGGTTTAGAATGGGAGGCTGGCTGATGACTTTAGAGCAAAACCTTTTTTTTTTTTGCTCGGTGTCTTTTCTTTTAGAATGTATGAAACAGTCCAGCTTGTTCACAGGCTGCCAGCTGACAGATGACCCTTGTTTCTAGGGGAATGGCCACAGTTTATATTTCTACTATTGCAATTGCTTTTCCAGTTTTGAGCACACAAATGCCTCATGTTTGTACACAAATTGTGATTGTTTGTGGCTGGTTTACTAAAACAGAAATAAAAAGCCTGCCTAATTAGATACAAATGGAATGGATGGTTTAGGTTTGTTCTCATGTTACATAGTTTTGGTAAATATAAAGGAGTCTGTTCCGAGATTGTACAATCAGATTGTATAGTTTGTACCCAGCTTAACATGTATTTAAAGATCTTACAAGAAAAACAGGACAGCACTGCTCATTATAAATTAATATTTTATTAATAAATCAAAAACTAGACACCACTGGGTCACCACCACAGGGTCACTTGTAAACAAAGGTTAAAGAGGAGCACATATACTTACCTTTCAGTTGGCTTGTGTCTTAAACCAAAACTCTGGGCAAAATGACAAATTAACCTTTGCAGTGGGGCTACTCGGCACGGCAAGGGTTAACTCTCATTTTGGTCTAGGGATGAAAACACGAAAAAAGTTATACTTACCTGATCCTCGGTCCTGCCTGGCTGCTAGACTGGTCCCTAGAGCCCCTCTCCCCCTCCACACCAGCAGTCTAAGCCCTGCGGGTACCATCATGTGTAATGCAAGTCCATTGACATTCCACAGCCGGAGCGGAGGGGGTGAGAGGCTCCAGGGACCGGTCTAGCGGCCAGGAAGGACCAAGCATCAGGTAAGTAAAACTTTTTAATTTTAGACCCTAGATCAAAATGGATGAACATTTAACCCTTTCAGTGTAGGTGTAGCCCCATTCTCCCCCCGGGCTCTGACGGTCTAAGCACTGCTGACATCATCACATCTATGCAAGGCCCATTCACTTGTATTAGATGCGAGGATGGCGAGGGACATACCACAGCCGGAGTGGAGGGGAAGAGAGATAAGCACTCACTGCCGCAGGATGGAGGATCATGTGAGTATATCTTCTTTATTCCCATCCCTAGACCAAAATGAGCTGTTAACCAGGGATGTGAGGTCAGGGGAGGCAGAGCCTCACCTAGTATCATGGAGGAAAAACGTCTGAAGCTGACAGCTTTATCTCCTTTCAGAGCGGTTTGTTACACATCAGGGAAATCCTCCCCGCTGTGTAACCTGTCATGGACAGAACGCTGCCTGTTAATTACGGGCAGCGCTGCATCCGGCTTTGTGTAACCTGCTTGTGTAACCTAACATAGTGAGGCCAGAGCAGCAACAGCCTCTACTCTATGATAGAGGCTTGAGCTCTGTGGATGGTTTGGACCAATGGCAAAGCGTCATTGGTCCAAGCTGTCCAATTAAGAAAAAGAAAACCACTGAGGACATCAATCTCGATGCCTCACCATTGACGAACATGTGGTGGACAGGGAGGTTCCTCCCTGTCTCCTCCCTTCCTCCTCCCTCCCTCCTTCACACTAGCTTGGTGATCGGTTTGAGGGGGCAGGCCTTCGACTTGATGGGGCGGGATTCAACAGACTGGGGGCGGGAAATTGGTGTGCTGGGTGCGGGGTGTACTGGGAATGCCTCACCGAGCATGGAAGGTACCACACATCACTACAGTTAACCCTTGTAGTGTGGGGGTAGCCCCGCTGCAAGCGTTAAGATTTGAAAATCCTGGAGAACTGCTTTAAACCCCTCAAATAATTATACATTTTCTGAAAGCAGAGGCCCTGTAGACCCCTGATGTCTCCCCTGCCCTCCGATATACATGATCAAGCACACGGCTGTACAATTGCAGGCTAGTGCAAGTATCCACTTGTACTCTGACAAGCTTGTACTTTTCAATGCTGAAAATACCCCAATGAGTACATATAATCATATAATGTGTATATATATATATAAATATATATATATATATATGTGTGTGTAGTGGTCCTGAAGTGGTTCATTTTCTTCGCTGCTATTTGAACAGCCAGTATAAAGGAAACATAATAGTGGAAAACAACAATTCTGGGTTTAACCCATTTTTTTGGGGGGGCATTTAAATTCTCAATGGACTGCCAAACAGTTGGGTGTGGCAGCGGGCGTGTCCATTACCTAAATACATTGCGCTGGATGGCTCATCTCAGAAAGTTGGGAGGTATGCTGAAGGTTATGTGTAATAACATGGCAAGAAGTCAAACAGGTTCTACAAAACAGGCTGAAATGTAGGAGGATGAAGTGGTTTACTAAGTCACTTTATTGGTGAAATGGTCTTCATCTGTTCAGAGCCACGCTTCATTGGCAATACTGCATAGAACTCCAAATTGTTATGAAGGGTGGGAATGTTTGCACTGTTTTATATCCCCATACAACACTGAAGAACTAGGTAGGCACAAACGTTTTCTATGACGTAGCAGGACTGATGTAGGTCACATCTTCTAAAAATGGATGTAGATAGAACAACTCTGTAAGGGAAACATCTGTGGAGCCATTCAGTATTAAAGTCCCTGTTACTTAAAATCACATGAGAATTTGCTCCATGATGATCCGGCTGTCCTATATGTCTGTAGTGACCATGCTGTGGGGGGAGAAGTAGGGATTCACAAGCCCATAAGTGTGGACTACCTGCAGTCAGGGGTGTCCCTACAGTTGTCTCCACCTGCGGTTGGTGATGGGGAAGTTTGGAGGGGGTGGGTGTTGGTGGTGCTCATTCTGGGGGGCTGTTTTGTGTGGGTTTAGGGAAGGGGGGGTTGGGCGGCTGTATGAGGGTTTGGTTCGGTGGGGGGGTGCTGGTTGTTACCTCTCTAACAACCCCCCAGCTCGCTGATATCACTAGTTGCCAGGAGCCCGGCAGGTCGCTGGCCAGAGCATCCGCTAAACTCCTGGCAACCAATGGGGCAATGGGGCAAAAACACACCTGACATTCCCCCCCCCCCCCCCCCATGATCCAAAGATATGCCACCTGAGGCTGCCTCATTATAGGGACAGCCCTGCCTGAAGTGGCAGTGGAGCAACAAAGTGCCAGAATTTGAAAACACGGGCCACTTGTTAGGTATATATATAGTATAGCTGTTCTTCTTTTCCAGGCTGGGCTAACTTTACTGTGGTGACAGGGTCACTTTATAGGTGAAACAGGTGGCAATTAAACACCAATGAAACAAGCAACAATGGGCACTTAGGGCAGAGAAACCTGCAATACGCCAACATTCTGCAAGTCTCAGAGTGTTAAAGATGTAGAATCACTCATAAGCTAATTCTGAATAAAGATGCATCAATGATACTGGATACCCAATGTCCCCTGGCATAAAAGAGCACCCCACAATATTACTGCTACTAACCCTCTACCTCACTATCTCTACCAAAGATCTCTTCCTCTGTGCATAGATGCCAACACTGCACATGAGTTGAGACATGTTGTTAATTTGAGATTATAAATGCCTCCGCCTTCTGCGTCATGGCTTTCCTCCTACACTGTTGTGTCATTCCTAACTTAACCCTTTGGCTGCCTTCCATCTTCCATGTTCCACCTCAGATAAATGAATGGATGATCTATTTTTATTTCCAATAAAATTGTACCCTGAAATTATATCGAGTTATTACATAGGACTACATTGGTGCCCTTTATTTATTCATACTGCTAAGGATGTGAAACAACTCACTGCATAATAAGCCACATCATGTACATATATGACATAAATGATCAAATATGCTAATGTATCAGGCAATAATAAAAATATTATGTATGCTTTAAACACACATTAGCTTGTAACAGATTTATGCAAGTCCTTGTTTTAAAGGACAGTACCTTCTGTATAGTTGTCCATTATAAATCCACCAACCTACAGAGTGTAGCCCACCTGGTAAAATATTTATCTTCTTCCCAGTTCCAGTACCTGGCGCTGCACAGCCTTCACTCGGAAAACCTTGCTGGGTCTCCTCTCTCTAATGCACACCTGCAGTGTAGCACCATTTATTGATGAGCCGTGTTTTGCTGGATGGCTAGAAGCCACCATAAGACTGGCTTTTCCATGGGAATGAAAGGGACCGTGATGTGCTCAGTTCAAAAATGCTCCCATGGGGATGTTTTCCGAGCATAGACCATGTGGAGCCAGGTATGGCCGCACAGTTAATAACAATAGAACAAGTAGAAAACTAACAGGGCTATTCACAAAAGGGTGAAGAGTTTGGAGAAGGCCGGAGAAATGAACAATCTAGGACAACATAGCCGATTTGGAAAAATTCTCCAATTCAGCTCACTTATTAGTTCAGCTATGTTGTCCTAGATTGTTCACTTCTCCTGCCTTCTCCAAGCCCTTCACCCTTTTGTGAATAACCCTGTAAGTATTTTACGAGGGTCAATCATAAAGTAATGCCTCCATGTCTGTAATTTGAGACTTATTAGAGTGACTGTGAATGTCCATGTACCATGTTATAGAGGTGTCCTTACCCCACTAATGTATGCTTTTCTTTTTCAGATTGAGTGATTAGAACCATGGATCTGCGGCTAAAACAACGAGCTGTAATTTAATTTCTGGCGAAAGAGGGTTGCGCGCCTAAGGAAATCCATAATTGGGTAAAGAATGTTTATGGGGATACTGTAGTGGAACTCCAGTTTTTCTTCTTGAAACTTCTTCACCCAACCCCACACATTTTGCCACATGTCCACTAAAGCTTCCCCATAAACATTATTTAGCCGATTGCATACCTCTTACAGAGACCCTGTCACCAGACCATTTATTGTCACAAAATTATTCCCATAAGATATACATATATGTAGAGTATATCTAATGTATTTTATGCATGTTATTTATCTGTAAAAGGCTCCCTTGCATAGACATCCAAAGCTCTGAGAT